TTATTTCGAAAAACCAAAGTAGACACATTGCTTTCTCTTGAACAGTCGTCATTTTGAGTTATTACGTCATATTTTCTTTCAGATATCAATGCGGCAACTGTAGCGTTGCCAAATGAAACGTTTTCCATTACGCTTTCATAATCTATCAATAATTTTATTTTTATACTTCCGGTTTGAAAATTATAGGCCATGGAAACCCCGACAATAATTTAGAAACATCATCCAAACATTCCACGTCATTCTGGGTTACTGACAAACAAATAAACAAATAATGTGTGTCCGTCTGTGTAGCCCACCTTTTCGAAGCAGTTGCCCAGTTTCCAAGAAATTTGATACGAACTTCACATTATTTGAGGCCGCCCAAATTGCGTACTTCCAATTTCCTGCAATAAGTACGAGTAATAACAAAGTGGTGGAGTCACGAACTTATGGGGTAGGAGGGACACACTACACTTCGCAAGCCTGAAATTTTTGTTCGGTAACTGATCGAGGGAAAACATGCGATGTTTGTTGCGGCGACAAGGGTCCGAAGTTATATTACACTTTAAATACTGCGGCCATTAAGTCTTTTATAAACACATGAACTACCTCCTTCAGATTAGATCAGTATTTTATAGAGATCATTGAACTACCAGCACGTAGTAAGCAAGTCTGTGACCCACATCACACGAGTGTCGAAGATGTTGCCGAAGAGGCACGGCTATTTTCACAGAAGAAAGTCGTGGGTGATGCTTATTCTAAAATTCCTATGATAAAACAATATGAAACCAAATATTTCGATGCTATGTTATCAACGTGCGGGTTTCTGAGAGTACAATTATCGCCACTCTCATGACTTTTCCTTAATGATTGTCTTTTAGGAATAACATACGTAATTAAGAAAACTACGTAATTTATATCCTTGGAGACGCGATACAATCTTAGTTGCTGAAAAAAAATACTTCAAATGGAGGACACAAGAAACACAACAGAATTTTAGTTAAGAGGTCTTTCTGAAGATTCTGACTGAAGAATCTCAAATAGAGGAAACAAGAATCACAATAGAATTTTGTTAAGAAACCCCATGAGAGGACCGTCTCCGTGGTATAGTGGTCAGAGTTCCTGGCTACAGATCCAGAGGACCGGGTTCGATTCCCGGCGCTACCAGATTTTCTGAGAAGTAGTGGGTCTGGAACGGGGTCCACTCAGCCTCGTGAGGATAATTGAGGAGCTATTTCAAGGAAATAGCGACTCCGGTCCAAGAAACTGAAATTAACGGCTGTGAGGAACCGTTGCGCTGAGTACGTGACACCCTCTATCCGCTAAATTTGGCACTAACTTCGCCGACAAGCGGCGGTCGCTCGGTCGGTATACTCGTAGTTCGCTTGCGGACTAAAACCACGGCGTTTTTTTAATGTCATGAGAGTTCAGATTAAAGAATCTGAGATGGAGGACGCGAGGAACCGCAACAGAAGTTTTGTTAAGAAACCTCCGTGAAAATGAAGATTAAATCATATGAGGTGGAAGAATCAAGAACTACAATATAATCTTCCTCAAAAATCCTCTTTGGAAGTTCAGAATGAAGGCTGAGGTACCTGTATCCTTGCCAGATGACACTAATATTTAAGAGGCACTACTTGAGTTAAAGACAGAGATTTGAGGATAATATTAAAACAGATTATAGAAAATGCAGACTCAGTTCATAAGTAATGTTTGGCGTTGAACTTCCATGTACGAATACGACAGCGCCAGTTGTTTTTTTTTTAATATTGCTAGTGGGGTGGGACTAAGTCCCTTGTACTGCGGCCACTTCTGGCCTACTGTACCAGCCCCAGATGACAGGCGAGGATGATTTTGGAGCAGTTGGTGGAATGAAGATTGGCAGGGGAAACCGAAGTACTCGGAGAAAACCTGCCCCAGCGCCACTTTATCCACCACAAATCCAACTTGACCAGACCCGGGATCAAACCCGGGCCGCTGTCGCCAGTCGCTTAGTAACGCGTAAGCATGTCTTCAGGTTCTTCTCAACAAGAGCAAAAGGATAGTGCTCCTTAACAAGAGTGGAACCATTTTGTACATCCGGAATGCGAGAGAAATAAGACGTAACGTGTTGTTAGCAAGGCACTCACTGCTAGTGCAGCACGTAACAACACGAAGTGTGTAATTACCGTACGGCAGAAGTCGCACTATCCTTACAGAACTTAGCTTAAGTAGCACAGAAAGGAAATTACTTGAGACTCAGAGACAAATGGGGGTATATAATTCTGCAGAGAACAAAATAAAAGCATAATGGAGAAGTTACCTTTATCCGCTTGTTTGCGACGTGAGACCGGTGCTTAAACGTGTCGTATGGGAGAATTTCACTACCATCTGTCGGACAATTCCAACTTCAGCTAAGATCAGATAAAAAAAACAGCGGATACTTCAACCCTTTGAAGCCCCGTGGTTACTATATATATTTATATATATACTATATATATAGTTTATTTAACACACTAAAACTCTGAATTCTGCCCACAGAGTGTATCTGTGTGTTCCGTATGGTTCTCACAATAAACAGCGACTGTTTCCCTAAACAGCATTAACCGGTTGGGCTTTGTAGCAGAGACGTAATGTATTTCCTGTGAGGTACGGACTGAATTTTCATATATTATTTAAGAGTAATAGGCTTAAACTTGGCGGTGGTCAAGCTTACGAGCGTTCAAATGACTAAGTTGTCGTTGAAGCATAAGATATGTAAGTTAGGCATGATCTGCTCTATAAAGCCTGTACTGACAGAGGACTTGTGTGTAGTGCAAAAGGAAGAATTTTCGATAACATATTATCTGTGCGAAATATACACTTGACGAAAGGTCAAGTGTATTCATAAGAGACAAACCCATCTTCTCGTCGGAGAGGATGTTACATAAGGACAATTACCGCAAGAGTTCAGTTGGAAAAAAAAATTCTTGTCGTGGGCCTCAAGGGGCCTGACGCCAAGACGAACTGATTGGCGGTAAACCGTCATTTGTAAAGTAACTCTGACTCTGACTCAAGGTTTAAATGAATGCATTTAACGAGTTTCTGCAAGCATCTGACTTGTAAAACACACGTTCATTCTTTATATGTTTATTGGAAGAAAAAACGTTTCAAATCAACGTCGCAAACAAGTATACAATCCGCATTTTCATATTCATAACGCTTTTTCCACAAGTCTTGAGGGTCTCGAGACAATTAAGCGAAATTCTTAGGCAGTGTCATCTCATAACTCAAGAATTCTTCAAATTCTTTTAATCACATATTACGCAGCAGTTCCTTGCACACATTTGCAGGTCATATTTGTCCGTTTGTCTGTCTGTCTGTGTGTAACATAGAATCACAGTCTATAATGTTGGATAGATTTCCTTACAATTCGATATGAAAGGCTTTCGTTAAACGTTTTTCGACAATTCGGATATTTCAGTCATACCGGCCTAAAATAAAGTCACAGGCTACCTATAACTCTTCATGGTTTCCTCAGTCTCTCCCAATGCATTCCGAAACAGTGTAATGAAGATTTGACTGGTTCCTTTGCAATTTCTTTGGCCAAGGAAATAAATATTCGTGTTCCATAAAAGGGGGGGGGAGCTCAAAAAGGGCTCACTTCCATGGAGTTATTTATTTTAATGACAGCTTCAACTTCAAAAGTTATGTACCTCAGAATGTGAACAAACAGTATAATACATACTGAACTGCATCTTCTCAGTAAGTACCACGTATTAATTTCTTCTCTTTGCTAAATAATTCCAGTTATGCCGGAGGGCGCACACGCACACACACTAGAAATTTCCATGCGTAAATTCGCCTCTCGATGACTAAAGACCAAAAGATGATGCAGTCTTCGACCTGTACTAATGAACGAACATGTTACTCATTTTTATTGTGGAAAATAACTGCACATACAAAAAAAAGGCATAGGCAATGCCCATCCGGCCCTCTGTAGCACCAGAACGTTAGCAACGCCATCTGATATCGTGCTCTTCGTTCGGCAGTCGTGTGTAAGAACGGCAAGTGACGCGCCTCGCGGATTTACGGCAAACTCCAAGGGCATTTTATCGTCACATTTCAGTTTTCTTTAGGCCTACATATAGGATAGGGCAAACAGGATGTTCTTCCAGATTGCTGGCCAGCTTTTAAGGGGTGACCGAACAGCTATAAAATTTAGGTTTTGAGGTTTTCACGACGATGACTATGAAGAAAGTCGTCTTCTGGGTTCTGGCGCCGTGTATTCTTGTTTTTAACCGACGTTTCGGAGGAACATATCGCCTCCATCTTCAGGGCAGTTGAAATGCGTTGCGAATACAAAGAGCAGTAGCTGAAATGATAGGGAAGTGAAAAGCTAGCCTACTTCATATATAAACTAGCGCTTTTCACTTCCAAATCACTGCAGCTACTGCTCTCTGTATTCGCAACGCAATTCAACTGCCCTGAAGATGGAGGCGATATGTTCCTCAGAAACATCGGTTAAAACCAAGAATACACGGCGCCAGATCCCAGAAGACGACTTTCTTCAGCTACAAAATTTGTTTACGAACTTTATGTCTAAATCTTTTAAGATCGCTTTTACTAATCACCCTAAAGTGTTTACCGTAAAAAAAAAATATTTTTGAGATAAAATTTATTTATTGCATGGATTTTTTCTTTTTAATTCTCATAGTGGGGGGTGGAGTCCAGCTGGGTCCACTCGGCACGGTGGCCACTGATTGGCCTATTGTACCTGCCCCGGGTGATTATGATGATGGAGAATTTGGTGGAATGAAGATTGGCAGGGGAAACCGAAGTACTCGGTGAAAACCTGCCCCAGCGCCACTTTGTTCACCACAAATCCCACTTGACCAGACCCGGGACCGAACCCGGGCTGCCGCGGTGGGAAGCCAGCGACTAACCGCTTGAGAAATATTTTCTCCTTCTTTTCACTTCAGAATTCTTCAGAAACCCAGCGTGGGGGGGGGCAGGTTCCTGGCCATTTGCAATTAAGTATGACGGTTTGATATATGTTACAGCCGCTTCTATCAACGAGTCTTGTTTCTTCAACGAGCAGTGTGAGATGAGTCACTACCAGACAGAGTGTCGAGAAGGCCACTGCGTCTGCCGCTTCGAGATGACGCCCTTTACCAAGAAGGACGGCACAATAGAATGCTCTGGTAAGCACTTCATTCTAACTCAATTCTGATCTTAACGGCCACTTCCTTTGAAACCATTCGAAACATTTCCTGCCAAAGCATCATTCATAACAATTTGAGACTTACAGTATTGTCTTACTGAGCCCTGAGGAACTGTGGAGGTATTGCAGTAGAGGCAGCCCACACCGCCGGTAGAAGAACTGGCGGAACTACAATTCACATTTTAGCACTCAGTCACGTGTCATAGCTCAGTTAGTCGCTCACTTCCCACTAAGGCGGCCCGGGTTCGATACCAGATCAGGTCATGTGAGATCTGTGGTGGAGAATGTGGTATTAGGGCAGATTTTCTCCGAGTATTTTGATTTTCCCCGCCAAAGGAACCACGCTCATCTACCCTCCTGGGATGTTACAAGAGGCAATAGCCGTTAAAGCAACAAGTGGACTCAGTTTTACCCCACCCCACGCCACTAATAAAAACCTATTGGGAGCAGAGCTCTTGTTGAGAAGAATATGGTTGTTCGTCTTGTCTCACTATTTACAGTACACCCTATACAGAATATTACGGTGATCGCAAGCGCCTGCCTTAGGGCTCTAACGTAGGCCAGATGAATTAATTGAAAACCACCACACCTATTTGAGAAAAATTTTAATATTATTCTCCCACCTATATCTAGGTCTAACGAGATATCTCTTCTTGTCATGAAGAATCCTACCTTCTGTTATGTGATGTCATTCAGTCCGGTCGAATGAAACCGCAGTATCAGATGTTTTCTACTTGCTTGTTTCTTGGCTTGTTGTTCGAACAAGAAGATAGAGGGAGTACGTTCCTCTGAAACTTCGGTAAATTCTGCCATACTACACGGCGTCACGTGCCAGAAGATAGCCCACGCTTCATAGTTTCGGCCATGAGAATCTTAATCACATCACATTGTTTGAATCTGACCAATACTAATCAATATTAAATTTAATATAGGCTATAACTACGTGTATTATTGTGCCGGTCGCAGTGGCCGCGCGGTCTAAGGCATGAACCGTCTTCGCCCGCTCCAACGCTGGGATCGTGGGTTAGAATCCCACGCGAGGCAAATATGTCTGCGTTTATTCTGTACATGTTGTCCTGTATAGGTAGCGGCCTTGCGACGGGCTGATCCCCCGTCCATGGAGTCCTACCGACTGTGCATAGATTAAGAAACTGAAAAAGCAGCCAACGTCCACAAGGGCTGTAGAGCCATAGATAGATAACTACTGTTCTAGACTCCATTGTAGGTTTTTATTTATTTTAAGAAAATAACTCATAAGGAGAAAAGTGCACATGACGTAAACATATGCTACTTCTGTCCTTTAGATGAAGACAGCATGTTCCTACGAAACATCGGTACCCCTTCAGATGAATGCAATATTGACTGTCCTAGACATGTCAAATTCAACACCTTCCTGTCATGTTTCCCGACTAAACTGTGCATTACTTTCCGGCTTCTCCATGCGTGCTACAAGTCCCTCCCACTTCATCCCCCTTGACTTCAACAACTTTCTGATAAATGATTTACATCTGTGGTTCTATATCGTTCAATCGTACTCCCATTCAAAACAAATTAAGGCAGAAATGCAGAACTTTTCATTTCATTTCTTTTCCGCTGGCATCTTGCCATGTCATACCTGTACGTGATCTCGAAATGGACGTAACGTGACGTCGCCTGACGCTTTGGGGCCCCACCCATTTTGAGAGAGAAATTAACAGTGCATCCTCTCCTGGACAAAAGTAACTACCAATTTAGATAAGCCCTCTTACGTAAGGCCAAGGCCAATAACTTGGCTGTTCGTGACGGGATGTGAATAAGTCATCAGGTGTTAGATTCTTACACATTAGGAGCTGTCAATCTGCTAACCGCAACACACAGAATGGTAACAAAAATGTTGAGATCTGCTCTTATTGAAAACGAGCACGTAGGGATCAGGCTATATGATTTGTATTCGAGAAGAATCTGGTTTGAATCTCGGCTAGGACACCGACTATCCTGACCAATGTTCCCTGACATTTTTGTGTACGTTACCGGAAAAATTAACAGTCTAAGAGGTTTGTTTAAACTCAGAACATCCAATGAGTAGGAGTCGTAAGGTAGATCCTAAAGGGTTCTCACGGTTATGTGTAACACTCAGGATTACTGGGGTTCCGGACTTCGCCCGCCTTTCGGAAGCTGGCTCTGTTTCCGTCCTCAGGTGAGGACATGGGAGACATCTATTTTGTCAGATCTGTTAGGAATACCTAGGACCGCCTCTGTGGTATAGTGGTCAGAGTTTCTGGCTACAGATCCAGAGGTCCCGGGTTCGATTCCCGACAATACCAGATTTTCTGAGAAGTAGTGGATCTGAAACGGGGTCCACTCAGCCTCGTGAGGATAACTGAGGAGAGTATTTCAAGGAACTAGCGACTCCGTCTAGAAAACAGATATTAACGGCCCTGGGGATCCATTGTGCTGACCACGTGACACTTTTTATCCGCAAAAGTTGGCAATAACTTAGCCGACAAGCGGCGGCCGCTCGATCGGTATAGTTCGCTTGCCGACTACAGGCCACGGAGTTAGAAAGATCTAAGAAAGGGCAGTGATTGAGTTTAGATCTTTCTAACGGAACCAACAGAGCAGGTGTCTCTCGCCTCCTCCCCTGAGAATGGAAACATGCGCAGTTTCAGAAACGTTGTGTTCTTTAGAACACCGGTCGATAGACAAAGTCCAAAAGCCCAGTAATGCCGGGAAGTCATAAGGGTTCTTTTTCTGATCTGTCGAATAAAAAAGTATTGTTGTATTGGTTTGCTTTGAATGCCTGACATTACAAGCTAGTGTATGTCAACTTATTGTCACTGTAAACACGCCAAATGAATGTTTAGTTGTTGGGTGACAAATGCGGCAGTGATCAAACTCAAGTAACCATTCATAAGGCCGCGCCATAGCTCAAGCCGTTAGTCGCTGGTTTCCCACCACGGCGGCCCGGGTTCGATCCCGGGTCTGGTCAAGTGGGATTTGTGGTGGACAAAGTGGCGCTGGGGCGGGTCTTCTCCGAGTACTTCGGTTTCCCCTGCCAACCTTCATTCCACCAAATTCTCCATCATCATAATCACCCGGTTCAGGCTACAATAGGCCAATCAGTGGCCGCTGTGCCGAGTGGACCCAGCTGGACTCCACCCCCCACTAAGCGATTAAAAGAAAAAAATTCATATCGTTCACTCTGAACTCCAGTTCCCTTCAAAAGCGCCCCCTGCATACGTTACTTTCGTAGCCATGGTTCTAACCCTAATGTTGCCGGAACACTTTCGAATGGCTGTAATTCTTTATCGAAGCATTTCCGGATCCATATTTATAAAAAACTATTTTCATTCTTGTGGGCCATAGTTCTCAACCTATAATTTTCTCTACTTACTTCTGACACACTCTGTACATGATCACAAGCAAACAAAAATTGGATTCGAGATTCTCACAGCGGTGAGTATGAAAAGTGAGATCACCTTGGTTGTAACTCCATATAGTTCGGAGAGGGTCAGGCGTTTCAAGGGAATATATCGCCTCCAACTTCAGGGGTGAAGAATATGCCAAGCAAGAAACCAGAAGCAGGCGGCATGCTGGACTGGTTCACCGTCACCTTGCTTATTCTTCAACCCTGAAGATGGGGGCGATATATTCCCTTGAAACGCCGGGCACTCTCTGAACTACAGGGCGTTAAATCTCATAAGACCCTACTATTTTTGTCGTCACAGTGACAATATAAAATACAGAATACCATAGTTCCTAGATTTGGGGGCACTGTACTCGTACATGGGGTTCATCTAATCGTGTGCGTCGGTGACGGGGGAAGAGACCTGATTGCCCCCTCCCGCCTTCCTCGACAGGGGTCCAAGATTTTACTCAAACAGCAAAGAAGTTGAAAAGTATAATAAGGTGATCTTAGTTAATTTCGCTTCGTGTTTAATCTCATAACCGTACATAACTCACATACTCGTATAATGTTTGATTAGAGAGAATAGTTCGGGTTAGAGTAGTTTATTTGGGTTAACTACTGATATATCCCGAATTATAAAACGATTTTATTTAACGTGTTTCCCACTAAGAAGCGTCTATAAACGGTAAAGGTAAAAAGGTCTTTATACTTAACTAATCAAGCACTACGCCATGAAGGCGTATGGGGAATGGATGTATAGAGCCACATTTTCTTGACCTCGTCACTAGTTGGAGGTGAATGGTCAGCTTCACGCCTCGGTCGCTTTAATCCCAGGGAAAGAGCCCCCATTACACATTCGATAGGAGGTTTGGTGGACCCCAGAGCCGGTCTGGACGACGTGGAGAAAATTCTTAACCCTACCGGGACTCTGACCCGTAGTCAGTCGCTGTACCGATTACGCTATCCCGGCACCATAAAAACGCCAAGAGCACGTGGTGTTCCCCAACGGTCACCCATCCAAGTACTACCCACGCTCAATGTTCCTTAACTTTGACGACTGAACTAGAACCAGTGTTTTCAACATGTTACGGCCATTAGCCGTCCAAATACGACCTCTGCTAATACTTCGCGACATATTTGTTTAAGACACCTAGGCTTACCATCAATATAACTCTCGGTATTATAACACTTTTCTTTTCAAACCAAATATATAAAATATCAAAACTTCGTAGTTCCTCATTGAACAAAGCTATCATTTCTTTCATCTTACCTGCTCGCGCCGTGACTTCGCCATGTGACTGCCTTGGTAATGAACTTCAACACGAATCCCACCCACGTTCATAATGCAATTATTGTTTTTCAAGTTCACTGACTATAAACACACAATATTACAGATAATTTCAAATTCTAACATGTTTACTTTCTACTCTTTATAAACAGAATTCGCAAAACTACCACTTTCCCTCGAAAAACTTATGACGTAATATAATTCCCACTCTTGGCTACTGTCAGCACTGCCAGGGCTGCCAATTACATTTACAAAAATCCGCCGAAACTGAAATATTAAATTCGCTAGATCTGAATTCTTTCAATTTCTATTTTTGCATATGGGTCTGAAACTGTTTCAGTAACAACATTGTACATTGTATGATCCTCAAGATAGCAAGATTTCATCAGTGCCTGTAATAGGAATATCGCGGCTATAGGTATATGCCCAGGTATCAGGGTAATCTTACCTTTTTCTTGCCTTATTATTTCGCCCTCAAAAAGTCGGTAGAAACTAAGAATTATATTTTAAAATTTAATTCTTAGTTTCTACCTTCTTTTTTACCATCTCCTTCTTTATGTTTCACTCCTTTTTTTTTTGCTACATTGCATTCTTTTCTTCATTCCCTCCCGGTCTTCCTACCTCCTTCACTCATTCTCTTCTTTTTATGCGGGGCGATTCCTTAGCATTGAAACGACGCAAGTATCTTGCGGTTAAGAATGTAACCAGTCAGCGCGCGCGGGTGTGTGTGTGTGCGTGTGTGTGCGTGCGTGCGTGCGTGGGGCAATCATGGTTAATCTTAATTTTTATATTTGGGACATACAAGAAATAAAAGCTGTTTCGTTGTCTTTTCCCTTGAAATCGCCCATGGAATATCTTTTGGACCGCAATGGACCACCATTTGCCCTCAGGCCACAATATACCCGCGGCAGCCCGGATTCGATCCCGGGTCTGGTAAAGTGGGATTTGTGGTGGACAAAGTGGCGCTGGGGCAGGTTTTCTCTGAGTACTTCGGTTTCCCCTGCCAATCTTCATTCCACCAATTGCTCCACAATCACTCTCACCTATCATCTGGGGCTGGTACAATAGGCCAGAAGTGGCCGCAGTACAAGGGACTTAGTCCCACCCCACTAGCAATAAAAGAAAGGTACATACATACATAACTGCAACCGAAACAAGAATCATGTTATGTCACACCTTGTGTAAACAACCTAATGGAATTATAGTTCTGTGTAAAAATGTTTGAATTTCCCACCGGTGTATGAACGCCAGAAGTATGTTTAAAGTAGAATTTACTAACTTTCTAATTATGATGAAATGACTGTGTTTGAATATTCTGCTAGCGTATGAATTAATTACAAATTCCCTTATCTGGACGCTGCTGGAGTGCAGGTACACTTGTGTTAAATTACAGTGCAAACAAAATGGTGCCTACTCAGGAAGATCAACCTCTCCCACGTTGAAGAGAATAACCCATTTCTGATCACATAAACAATCTTGGAACAAACAAAAATTTGGTCATGGGTCCCAAAATCAAGGACGACTGTGTTGATGAGGGCCAGTAGCAATTCACAGGGTCTGAACCTGGAAAATGGATTATAAAACAAATGATGACATAACCATTGCATCACTGTTGATGGCAAACAATCACATAGTAGGCAAAGTATAGCAGAAACTTAGGTTCCCACTATGAGCTCCAGACCAACTATATCCGGGTCTGGCAAGAACACTGAAATTTCATAATAGGCGTAGAGTGACAGATTGTTACTATCGGTGTTGTACAGGCAAATTGCCAATGGATGGTAGCATCAGTAGTGAACCTGTACATAATCACACAGCAAAACTCTAAAAATATATCTCATATTCTTGTTATCATCAGGATACTACCAATTGCTACTGCAGTTGGGAAAGCTCAGTCAATATAATGACAGCCTACAGCCTGGATGACTGAGAAGCTGGGGCTTGATTCCAAGCAGAAGCAAGATTTTTCTCTTCTCCACAGCATTGAGGCTGATTTCTGCGGCCCACCCAGCCTCATATCCAATGGGCACTGGTGGGTTTACCCAGGGGTAAAGTGGTCCAGGTGTGAAGCTGACCATTCATCTATATCTGAAGCTGAGGTCAAGAAATGTGGAGCTACACCTCCACTTCCCCTTATGTCTTCATGGCATTGTGCTTAATGAATTACACACTGGGGCAACCTTTACCAAAAGCTAATAAATGTATGCATACAATGGATGTGTTCTTGAAGAATTTCATGTAAAGCAAAATCGTGTTAGACTCAAATTTTGTTTGAGATGTAATGTAATGCAGTGTAATAGCAGACGTGGAGAATTGTCTTGAACTGAAAAACCAGTCAATGTCAGTCACAAAGAAGAAAAAGAGCCCTGCTCGCTGCTTGCTTCATTCTGGATTCTTAGTTGGCTTACTCTTCAACCATGAAGACAGAGGAGATATTCTCTTCCAGATCATCAGTTGACTTTCACCTGAATACAGGGCATTATATGCCAGAAATTAAAGTTGTGTCATATTCAATTTTGCTTGTTCATGTTTCATTATACGTTAATTATTGTGTTGTTTGTGCTTGCAGTGAAGAATGAGGCAACTGAACCCCCAAAGTATATAGACCCTGCCATGATTGGCGTCCTGGTGGGCATGGCCCTCATGTTCATCATCCTGTGTGTTGTACTTCGTCTCTTCAGCAAGTGAGTCGTTGAGAAATCCATAGCTAACACTTCACAGTTTCATGGCCAACTTCTTATAGTGCAAATTAAGAACCAGTAGCAACAGAATTTTATTTATTTGCATGTGTTCTTGTTTCTTCTTTAAGATTATTTGAACACTCATCAGAATTTTACCTGCAGATATAAAATTCTATAACAAAAAATGTTCTCTGGTGAGGAAGAATATTTTTATGCCATCCTTGCAGCTAGCACAATACATAATGCCTTAAATTGCCATAAAACTCTGGATTACGCTGTTTTTGAACATTGTCCAACCTCCATTATTCTAAAGAACACAAAAGAACACAACTTTGGGAACTGGACCTGTTAAAGTCACTAGAAAATTTGGCCCTTCCATAGCTCAGGTGGTTAGTCACTGGTTTCCTGCTGTGACAGCTCAGGTTTGAACCTAGGTCCAATTATGTGGGATTTGTGGTGGACAAAGTGGCGATGGGGTGGGTTTTCTCCGAGTAGTTCGGTTTCCCCTGCCAATCTTCGTTCCACCAGTTGCTCCACATTCACCCTCACCTATCATCTGGGGCTGGTACAATAGGCCAAAAGTGGCTGCAGTACCAAGTTGACTCAGTCTCACCCCATCAAGAATAATAATTAAAAGAACTACAACATTTTCTAAGGAGAACCAGAATTGTGAAATTCCTTGTAGGATAAATTTCACAATCCATCTAAGGAAATGACACTAAATTAATGAACAAGCAGGATGTTTATACATTTAAATCCCTTCTCTTAAAAATATATCTACATATTTCACAGTGAAAAAATATTCTTTCCTCTTATTTTCAATAACACCATCACGAAATGAAACCTGAAAACTCTTAAAACTTGCACATGTATGTACCACTAATTCAATATCTTGTGTTATCAGAGCCAGATGGCGAGAGAACCGAACAATTTTCAATACCCCAAATCCACGACTGATGAATGTGTCACTCTTGAGAGACAGCAAACTGCTGCATGGTCCTGAACGTCGGGGAAGTCGTGCAAGTGTCCGGGGTCCAAGTCGCCAGCCCAGCATTGCATCACTGAGACCACAGTCACCTCAATCACTAGGTAAGAAGCATACATTAATAAGTCTGCTTTAAGGTTCTCACAGACGCCACTATGAGGAAGCATGGTCTCCTGGGTTTTAATACCATGTAGTTAAGAGACATTGGATTGTTTTGGAGCAACATACTGCCTCAATCTTCAGGGCTGAAGAAACAGGCTAAACAAAAAACTAGCATGAAGCAGAGCTCTAATTGCTGGCTGGTAAATGTTGGCTTCTTGTTTGGCTTTCTCTTCAACCCTGAAGGTGGTATGACATCTTCCTTTGAAACACTGGCCGACTCCCACCAACTACATGATGTTGCATCCAAAATAACAGAACTCTTCAAAATTTGATTTCAATGCAGTCTAAATTCAATTGAGACTTTTTATTTTTAGCAAACTGTTTGAGGTTATGTTACTGTAGCTGTTGTCATCAACATTATTATTATTATTATTATTCTGGCCATTGGGCTGTTAAGTTAGTGTGTAAATAATGTTGTATTTTAGCGTCCTGTTGCATTGATTCTCATCCATGATATGTATGTAATGGCCGTCTTGTAGTGCACCAATAATTTTATGAAAGACACATGATGGCAAGCAATGCAATAGCTTAGCGTAAATAAAGCACCTGAGGATGGCACAATGTTGCCAAAACATGTAGTGAAGTGACATGTGAAATTGAGTGCACTACAAGACGGCCATTACATACATATCATGGATAGTGTGTAAATAAATTAAGAATTGAAACAGCAATAATGCTAATAACATAATGATGATGATACTATCATTGTCATCATCATCATCATAACATAAACCAAACAGCATGGTTACTGTTAATATTATCCAGCTAATCTCAACATTAGCTGGACTTCAGAGTTGTGTTAAGTTCTACATATTAGTAACATGGTTGTTGAAACCGTGTGAATTTCCCCAAAAGAGTCACGTTCCTGTATTGATGGTATAAAATTAATTATGATTCCATACCAGAACGCATAACAACATTATTTAAATATCTGTAACAGGCAAAAAATCAGCAGCTAGTGACAAAAACATTTCTTCAGTAGGAGGACCAAGATGTACTCAGAAAAACTGTTATGAAAACTGTTTTCCCTTTACTGATTTAAAGATGACTCTGTTTAATATTATACAGTACCCATCATTCTGCACAAACTGTTGCCATCAAAATGTTCCCCATATCAGATCTAATGAGATGGCAAAGAAAGTTGTGATTTCAGTAACAATTTCAGAATGTTTAGCCTTACTGTGATATAGCTAGATCTTGAAAGAAAATTAGTTTTCTAAATATATTTAATATAATGCTCAAATAACATGTGTGCTTCTTTCAACAGAAACACCAATCCCAACTAACATATATTTTGTGATGTACAGACGGCATATAATGCAAAAAGAAAATTTTAAATTTAATTTTAATGACATGCTGATAATGTTACACAGAGTGATTCACAAGGAGTTACCGCCACTTATGGAGCTTGTTGCTGAAGACATTTTGAGCAAAAAGTGTCATATAAACCTGGGTCCTATACTCAATATTTACAGAGTTACGTTCGTAATTGGAAACGCACTACTATGAACTGATTGCCAGACCTCTCCATTAGATTATTGCATTTGGGGATGGATGAAGGACTTCGTTTACCAAAGGAAGGCACAAACATGTGAGGAACTGCTTGCTCACATCATGCACACTGCTATGGAAATCAGAGTTAACAGTGTGCACCTACGTAGAGCAACGTGCAGACAAGCGTATCGAAGCAGAGGTCGGAATTTTTTAAAAGCGTTGTAATTTCTGTAAGTAACAATCAAGTTCCTTCCGTCAAATGTGACACTTTTTTAAGTTTTCCACCTCGTCAGCACCTGCCTTACATGTTTCGGCTCACCACGGAGCCATCATCAGAGGCATTTATAGTAGAAAAAGAAATCACCAACACACAAAACTTCACTNATTTTTGTGACATTAAATGCATTAAAATATTGAAATTTTGTATTTAAAATTAAAATTTAGAAACCTTCCAAGTTACGAATGGAACTCTGTAAATATTAAGTATAGGACCCAGGTGTATATGACACATTTTGCTCAAAATGTCTTCAGAAGCGAGCTCCATAAGTGGTGGTCACTCCTTGAATCACCCTGTATAACAAAGTTAGGGGAACACATCAGAATTATCTATTCCTTAAAAGAATAAAGACTGGTAATTACCAATTACACAGGAGTGTATTAATATGTGATACTATATCTACAGTTAAGTGTCTGCACTTATAATTCTTGAAATGCTGGATAAAACTTCAAAGTCTCTACACCGCCTCAAGATCAGAGGACCTAAAATTAGAATAAGCCATTGGTCCAAATCTTAGAACCTGGTGATAAAAAAGGGAATGCCCTTCATATGAAAGTTTCTTCATAAAAGAAAATAACACAAGCTAATAAATTAAGACAATATTATTTTATAGATAATCTATATTAGTCTTAGAGCTGTAGCTGTTAACATACAACATACAATAAAACATCATTCCATACTCCAGTTAAGAGCTGGCCAGCATTACACATTGCCACATTAAGATAATGCAGCTAACAATTAAACATTCACATAGACAGTTGTGACCAATCAACTCTTTCATCAAGGTTCACGACGGGGAAGCCATGCTAGCAGTAACGCATCTGCAACATCCAACAAGTCCCAGATATCACCAACAAAGGCAACGGCCTCTAACAGCACAGTGGTACCAAACCACACAGAGAGTGTCACTGTTGAGGTACAGGAGCCCAAAATGTAAGTTGGATGTCCACGGTGAATGCAAGTGAAGAAGGCATTAAGGGCTACTCCAACTCTGAATATAACATACTTAAATCTCACCTTGTTCATGCTATAAAGTTTCTTGTCACTCTGTTCTGAAATACTGAACTGCCTACAAAACTGATATTAAGCTTCAAAATTCTTCATCTAGAGCCCAGCTTAGGGAAAGATTCTATCACAGTCCTGTTATGAAAAGATCTATGTATGAAATTTCCATATTAAATATTAAAATAGGTGCAAATTTTCAGTAAGTTCCAAATTATCAAATATATTAGTATATCGCTGTTTTCCATGATGAACTGTATAACTAGTCATTCTGAAAATGTAGTTTGATGCCAAAACTTGTAGTCTGAACAGGTAAGAGGAACATTCATTAAGTATCCCTTGTGTACTTGAAAACGGGTGGTTAATATAATTAGAGTGACTCTTACTAGGGACCAGCGAATTTATCATAATTTCTCTGTTAAGTTGAATTATGTTCTGTTATAATAATGAAATAGAAAAAACTTGAAAAAATCAGAGGGGCTAAGAGTACAGTGAATCACTGATGCCTGTTATATCAGGTGATTTCATGGAATATTGAGTCCACAAACAAATTTATTGTCTGAATTAAAACAAAATAAATTATAATTTGAACAAGATCATCAACATTTATGTACTAATCTGAATATGACATATTTATGAAGTTGATTCAGTTGATCTTGTGCCAATGTTTGAGCTTAAAAATGCTTAGAGATATGTCATGCATAAAATAAAGAAAGTAAGTTTCAAAATGATACTAAGGACCTTTAAACATTAACTGTCAATCAAAATGTTAATCGCAGAGACAGGTCATTATCTGAGATAGTCGGAAAATTTAAACCAATTGCCAGAAAATAATAAAATTTGAAGAAAGAATCTTTTTCCCAGTCCATTTTGGGACAGATATTCTTTGAGACTTTTTATAGCTCTGAAAATCAAAGTTTAGAAAAATATTAGTAATAGTAATAATAGGAGCTTTAGCTTTACAATTTGCCTTCACTATCTCATTTCTTAGGACATGTTTAATAACAATTAACAACATATTCAAGAAATGTATTTATATATATACCTAAAACAACGCTTTTTTAGACTTCTGTGCATAAATTTCTTTACAAAGAGTACTATCATAATGAAGTATTGCTTATGTGAAATTAAAAAAATAATATCTTATATTCTGTTCTGTATTATACTAATGTTGTTATTTTTTTAACAAAGCATTTTGTCTTGTGGTGACTTGCACCATATTAATGTTAAAAGCACGCATCATCAATTAACTCTATACCTGTGCCTGTTCTTACTACTTAACTTTAATTAAAATGGCTCCAATGCAACATTCATCGATACACACATACATAGAAAGAGAGAGACCAATAATTATTGGTAATGGTTATAATCATTACTTATATTTGCACAGGTGTAAAATGTAGATTAAACTATCACCATGCACTCATTTTAGGGACATAATTTTAAGAAACCAAATACGGTGATATGTAGAAATAAAAAACTTTAATGCATTAGAGGTTTAGAAAATATTGTGTAGTTTAAGATATATTTTAAATGCTATATTCATATTCAGCTAACGTATCCAGAGGTCAATTTCTATGGCCTTTGTATCTTAACAGAAACCTATACCATACAGAGCCTCTCTTCACCAGCGATACTCACGATTCACAACTTTCACATAATCTCCTATTCTGTTTACAAATATGGCATCTGCTATCAGAAAATTTGGGGAAGGTTTTCTGATCAGCATTTGCTGGACATTGACATCAAAGATGCAAATTTAATGACCTTAGTGCAGATGACCATGCATGATCTATTATAAAAGTAGCAATTTTTTTTTTTGTATTTGGTGGGCATACTAATTCAACTTGTTTAACTAATATAATGAAAGTAGTAATTCTTTCAGAGAAAGTGACACAAAAAAAGTTTTTACTATTTAAATACTATTTCCTGTTACTGCTCAACTGTACAACAAGCTATACTGTGAATACTTTATATATAAATATATACTTGAAAGTTCTGTGGAGTAACAAGTCTCATACATGTAGCTTCGACTACTTTAAAACATGTAGGTTAAGATTTAGAGGTGACATTCTTTATATATGAAAAATATAATTTTACATATAACATAGTATGTACTGCACTTTCTGTAAGTTTCTTAAATGTTAACAATTCTAAAACCTCGTGTTAGTTTTAATGTTTGAACTTGGGTCATTGGGGAAGAGATCCAAGTGCCATCCATTAAAATGATAACACAGTACTAACTTATGTAAATACAGACTAAACATAAACGTGCTCTGTCAATACTTTTTTAACATTATTAATGTAATATATTCATATTTCTGCTCGTTCCAAGGGTATTTAGTGTGTTTGTTTTTATTTTCCCTTTTTTTATTGGAATGCTGTAATGGAAGAAAATAATGTATGAAAAGTCAGAGGAACTCTTTTTCTACGATTTCTGTCTCTAGAATATTAACTATATTTAGAAATAGTACTGAGAAAGTGGATATTAAGGATGAGATTTGCCTAGGGTAACTCAGAAAGGAATAGAATAGCAAACTATTTAAAAATGCCAACTGAACTCACTTTGTATTCCTGTCTTTCAAAATAACATATAAAATACTGTAGCCTATAGCATTTACTATATTTCCACATGCAGAGTATTTACTGCTGTTACTCAATACAGTATGGAGAATGTATCACCTAACTTACTTTTAATAAAAATCCTATCTTACAAGACGAGATTAATTTTTATTTGTAATCATAAAATTACCCAATGTTCTGACTTCCTTGCTTTCTAAATCAATGTCAGAGACTAGAAGATATTGTACATGAAAAAGAAAAAAGAAATGTTGAAATGAGTTTGTGGCAATGTCATACTTGCACACAAGTTAAATTATAGCTCAAAAGTAAACTAAAATATTGTCACATGTCTTGCGTTCCATGACAAATAACAACGGGTTCTGGATTGGATGATTGGATTTATTGACACTTATACATTTACACAGTTCAGGACTACAGGCACTTAAAGCACTATCGCTATTCTACACTTTCCAGCTCACAGATGCACACACACTTGGATTATCCATCTTCACTAGTCGTATCCTGGCAATGGATTTATGACAGGAACTATCACTTCATAGCACTAAGAAGTCTTTTTGCCATTTTTTGTTCAATCACCTTGGAATGTTGACCCTCCAGAATTCGATCCAGTTCTCCAGTGTTAATTCTCTAATGTATGCCTAGCTACAGACTCTCGTTATGCAGCCTCGGCACAGACCTATAGGAAACAGTGTCACGTGTCAGAAAGTGTGGTGCGGAGCACACAGAAAACACCACTTCCTCTCTTGTTGTGAAGGCATGTGTACCGTACCAATGCCTAGTGATAGAAGTGCATTGTGGGAATTCCTTTACCAAGCTGTTGCCTAGCAGTGGGTATACAAATTACAACATATTGTGACGTAAGATTTGAGGCTTTCACGGCGGTGACTATGAAGAAAGTAGTCTTCTGGGATTTGGCACCGTGTATATGTGGTGTTAACCGACGTTTCGGAGGAACGTATCGCCTCCATCTTCAGGGTAGAAGAAAAAATACATAAGAAATCTGCAAGCAAAGAGACCGTGAAAACCGGTAAAAGCAGACTGTGGAAAAATACACAGCTATGTGAGAGCAGTGAGGGAGAAGGGAGCTGGGACAAGCGTGGTTTTTGTGTAGGGGAGAGAAAGGCAAGGTTGAAGGCTGGGCATCACCCGTGAGCTGAGGGGTGGGGGTTGTTATGTTGGTTGGTCATGGCGTCATATCCCGGCCAAACCCAGAAGGCCACACAGGCCATGACCAACCAACATAACAACCCCCACCCTTCAGCTCACGGGTGATGCCCAGCCTTCAACCTTGCCTTTCTCTCCCCTACACAAAAACCACGCTTGTCCCAGCTCCCTTCCCCTACCCCTCCCACACTACTGCTTTCACTTGTATACTTGCCCTTCCCCCTTCTCCCTCACTGCTCTCACATAGCTGTGTATTTTTCCA